AATCAGAATCGCAATACCCAACAATCTTGAAGTCATTGCACTTCTTGTACAGCAATTTAACTCTCAGTGAGCCCCTGATGTAACGCAAGACCCACTTGACTCCAAGCCAATGATCACGGATGGGATTGCTCATATAACGACATATAACACCCACTGGATAAGCTAGATCAGGACGCGTACCTATCATGGCGTACATGATGCTACCAACAGCGTTGGCATAAGGAACAGATTTCATGTATTCTTCATCCCTTGCTAGCTGGATCTCAGTTGCAGCACAAAACTTCATGTGAGCTCCCAGTGGTGTTATAGCATACTTGGCGTCACTCATGTTGAATTTCTTCAGAATCTTGTTCAAGTAATCTTCTTGTGACAGCCACAGAGAGCCCTCAGCTCTGTTTCTAACAATTTCCATTCCCAGAACTTTCTTTGCAGCCCCTAAGTCTTTCATTTCAAACTTCTGACTTAGCTCTTCTTTGAGCTGCACAATGGCTTCTTTATTCTTGGCTGCTACTAACATATCATCTACATACAGTAGAAGATACATCAATGACCCATCTCGCAGCTCCTTTATGTATGCACAACTGTCATAATCACTTCTCAGAAAACCAATTTCTGACATATACATGTCAAATTTCTCATTCCATTGCTTAGGAGCTTGCTTCAGGCCGTATAGTGACTTGTTAAGTAGACATACTTCATCTTCTTGGAACATTCACTCATATCCCTCGGGAGGAGTCATATAGATCTTCTCTTTTAGTTCTCCGTGGAGAAATGCAGTTTTAACATCAAGTTGCTCTATTTCAAGATCTTCTTGAGCAACAATAGAGAGCAAGACCCTGATGGTTACATGCCTAACAACAGGCGCAAAGATCTCATGGTATTCAATACCTTCTCTTTGAGTATAACCTTTGGCAACTAGCCTCGCTTTGAATCTAGGCTCTTCAACTCCAGGAATGCCAAGCTTATACTTGTAAATCCATCTGTTGCCAATCAATATCTGATTTGTTGGTCTTTTGACTATAGTCCATGTATGATTCTTGGCCTGTGACTCCATTTCTTCATCCATGGCACGTTTCCAATCTTCCCAATTCATGTTCCTAGTAGCTTCTGCGTAATCAGACGGTTCTACTTCTTCCCCATCTTCAGTGGTGTAGAGAGCCTCTGCTAGATAATCTTCATCATCAAAGCGTCTAGGAGCTGTGATTATTCTCCTTTCACGGTCTCTCACCAAGTGATAACTTAATGGTGATTGATCTACATCAGTCTCCACCTCTTCACTTGCATCATAATGAGTTGGAGTTGCAGGGTTTGATCTTGTAGGAGACTGAGCTTCTTGAGCTACCACCTGATCTCCACCTGAGGTGACAACCTCTTCTTCATCAAGATCAAGATCAACATAAGAACTTGGTGGTGCATCTTCAACAGTAACCTCCATGTCTTTCCTCAATGCTAAATCTTTGAATGAAGCATTTTCCTGGAAAACAACATTTCTGCTCACCACACACTTCTTATCATCAAGCAACCAAATCTTGTAACCTTTTACTCCAATGGGGTATCCAACAAAAATGCCTTTCTTGGCTCTAGGACTGAGCTTTCCATCATCAGTGTGTGCAAAAGTAATGCACCCAAATCTCCTCAAATAACTGTAAACAGGAGGCTTACCAGACCACTTCTTATCTGGAATATCAAAATTCAGAGCTGATGATGGTGTCTTGTTGATGAGAATCACAGCAGTTTGAGTTGCCTCTGCCCAAAATCTCTTTGGGAGACCAGAGTCACTAAGCATGCTTCTTACTTTCTCCATTACGGTTCTGTTCATGCGCTCTGCAACTCCGTTTTGTTGTGGTGTATACGCACACGTCCTATGCCGTTGAATGCCCTTTGATGCACAGAACTCATCAAACAACCTGTTACAAAACTCAAGCCCATTGTCGGTTCTAAGAGTCTTCACTTTCTTTTCACTTTGATTCTCTACCAGATTAATCCAATCAACAAACTTCTCAAAGGCCTCATCTTTGGTTTTCAGAAAGTAAACCCACACTTTTCTAGTGTAATCATCAATAAATGATATGAAATATTGACATTTACCTAGAGACATTGGCACTGAAGGAGCTCCCCATAAGTCAGAGTGAATGTACTCAAGCTTCTCTCTAGTATCATGCTGAGCCAAAGTAAAACCAACTCTTCTAGCTCGGCCAAATATGCAGTCTTCACACGTTTCTAGAGTAGAAACCTTCTTCTTGTCTAGAATCCCTTTCTTCAGTAAGAGATTCATGTTTTTCTGACTCATGTGCCCCAATCTTCTATGCCAAAGGACAGTATCATCTTGTTTCTTCTCTACTGTGAGTGATTCATTAGTTACAGGCCTCCATTGCAGTAGATACATAGTATCACATCTCCTCCCTGTAAGAAACACACTGTCTCCAGCCTTGATAGTCAGAATACCATTTTCTGATTCAAACTTATACCCTCTTTTTTCAAGTGTTCCCAAAGACAAAAGATTTCTATCCATGTCTGGAATGTATCTCACATTTGAAAGCAGAACATTCAGACCCTCTTCATTCTTGACTCTAATAGAACCGATTCCCTTAACTTTAGAAACAGTCTTGTTCGCCATTCTCACTGATCCTCCAACATCTTCATTTAAATCTTCAAACCATTCTCTTTTGTGAGTCATATGGTAACTGCAGCCAGTATCCATAATCCATTCATCTTCAAGATGAACATCAGTAGAAGACAGAGCTTCTGAGACATTGAGACCAGTAGCTTCAGCTAGATTTCCCTTTCCACTGGAATCTCCTTTGTTGTTGTTTTGATCCTTAGATCTATTCTGAGCTTTGTTCTTGTTAGGACATGCATTCTTGAAATGCCCTTCTTCTCCACAGATCCAACATCCCTTTCTGTTTCTAGACTTAGATCTAGATCTCTGAGATTTGGAGTTCTTGTCTTTCTGCTCAGACCTCCCTCTTGTCTCTGACTTCTCTTTAACATATAAGCCCTCAGCCTGACCCTTAATACTCTTCTAGTTAGACCCAAACTCAAGCTCTTTTGAGTATATTGCTGCAATGACTTCATCTAACGTTAAAGTGGTTCTCCCTGAACCATACTTTAAAGTATCCCTCAACTGGTCAAACGGCTTAGGCAGTGACATTAACAACAGAATGGCTTGATCTTCATCAGAGATAATAACATTGGTGTTCTCTAAATCTGCTATAATATGAAGAAACTCATCTATGTTACCTTCAATACACAGATTTTCTGACATCTTGAAACTGTAAAGTTTTTGTTTGAGATAGATCCGGTTTGGAAGTGCCTTGGACATGTACAGCTTGTCCAGTGCTGTTATCATAGCAGCTGCAGTCTGCTCCTTCTTGATCTTCCTGAGGACTCTATCAGAAACGCTTAAAACAATGGTGCTGCGCGCCTTTCTCCTTTTCTCTTCTAAAGCTTCCTTCTTTAGTTTCTCCTCCTTTTCTTCTTCTTCTGTTAGCTTCTGATCTGAAGCTTTACCCACCGTAGCTTCATCATCTTTGAGAGCAACACTCAAACCCAGAATATCTAGGTGAGCCAAGAGTTTCTCTTTCCACATGGTGTAATCTCCACGACCATCGAACTTCTCTACCTCTATTCTTGCCGATGACATGGTTCTCTGTTATTACGGACTCTACGGAACCGAGAACAACGAACCTGGCTCTGATACCACTTTGTTGAGCTTTCTAACCACAAAGGTGTCGACTTTCCTTGTGAGAAGAGCCACAACAAACCAAGAACAGAGAAGCGGAACTGAGAGAGAAAGAGATTTGAGAGAAACAGAGGACTTGCAGGTGAGAAAGAAAAAAACAGAGCACACACAAGCAAGTTTGTTTACCCAGTTCACTCCCAAAAGGGTAGCTACGTCTGGGCCGAGTCGGTGCTCGGAATCCACTAGATACTCACAGAGAATACAATAACAGGAACTACAAGTGATCCACTCTAATGCCCTTCACTAGCACTTAGAGCACACTTCGTAAGAACCCAAAACCAAAGAGAAAACAAGAACAAGTTTATGCCAATACAAGTTTTCTCTAACTCTCTCTCTGTCGCATCAACCTTAACAACAGCGACCTCTCCTTAATGTTCCTTTTATAGTAACACACATGATACCTCGTGTTCTGACCTAAAGCAGCCTGCCTTGTCACTCGCAGCCAAACCAGCTAGCCTCTGACGCTTCTGCAGACAACAACAAAACTCCCTTCCTCTTTTGTAATCACTAGAAGACAACCTGCAAAACATCACTCTCGCAATGTATCCGTTTCTTCTGTGTGTGGTCCCAAAAGCATATCTAACCATGGTTTAGACTACTCCAACTGTGGTTAGATCTTGAGTATAGCAAAGAGTTTTGTCTGTGCTTAGTCATAGCTTGGACAGCACGGTTTCATCTTCACAATTTCCCATAAATCTTAAACTCTTGTGTCGACAATATACGTACGTGTATATAAATAAGCATAGTCGTTACCAGAACAGAAGGAGAAGAAGAAGAGACGAAAAGAAGAAATACATATTGGTGTACGTACGTAGTGCTGTGAAGTCGCGAAGAGCAATATGGAGCTTGGTTACATCTTAACCATCGTGTTTGTGGCGATCATCCTCATCTTGTCTGTTGTGTCGTATCTCTTTTGCGCAAAACAATGTATCAAATGTTGTTTTAAATGGTGTCCCGAGTCTCCCGACGCCGGAGATTCTGCTTAATGCGCTTGATCACCTATATATTGTTTCTTTAATTTTCAATATTTTGCTTGTTTTTATTTTTAATCATTCTATTATGAGAGTTTTATTTCAGTATTTTGGCTCTTTTGTTTTATTTTCTTGTTATACATGGGAGTTTAATTATTTTATGACAACATAGTTGCGAACTTCTGATCTTTAGATGTAGCACAATTACAGGATTTTAATAGGAATATCTCCAGCGATTGAAGTTCTATATTGTTTACACACTTGTATATAAAGATTAATTTGATTAAGCATAACATGTAAAATACCAATCCCTCGCAAAATAGTACTATTCAGTTTTTAATTACTAGCTAGTACAAACTCATGAAATTCATTAAACACACTAAAATTCTTAAAATGTCCACACAGAGAATAGATAAGGAACACACCCAGCAAACAAACAAACAAGGCAAGAACATATAGATCATCGCATCATAACAAATCAAGCACACAAAAACATAACGAAATTTTCTAAGTCTTCAACGAGTGCAGGTCGGCTCAAACGCGAAGGGGCCAACAGAGAAGAGAACATAGTCGTGCTCACCGATGTTGATTGTTTTAGAAGGCTTAAGCATACCACCGGTGGTTCCATTGTTGAGCTGTGACGGGACCGTGCATGTCATCGTTGCGGTCGCGGGTCCGGGATTCGTAGGCCAAGCCCGGCATGTGTGGAAAGCGTAGGTGGTGAGTTTCTTGGGAGCTAACATGAAGAAGTATCCGTTTCTGTCTGTTTTCGTCTCCATCGTCACACCTCTTTTTGTGTTGTTGCATGCAAGCTTTACGGTCGCCCCTATGATTGAACACATTTTCATGGATTTCAAAGCAATGTATACATTATTCAACGCAATGTTTCTGAGCAGAAATACAACATATAGCTATGAATTATAAAATATCATGACAAAATATATCTTTTTGCATGAATGCCACTTGGCGTGAGATACTCGATCAATGCGAAATGCAGAAGTTACACTTTAAAAAAAAATTAACATTTATTCAATTGTGTAAATCTGAAGAAACATTTTTCCTGATTAGAGAACATGCAACTTTTTTTTTTTTTTGGTTTAATGTTAATAGAGAACATGAATGCAACACTATAAAAATACAAATACTCTCAGCTTAATCTATTACCTTGATGATGATATATCATTAATTCATGTTCTTTCATACAAAAGTCAATCTAATTAACATGCATGTCGGCAAACGTGACTTTAACCTAGAGTCGTCACTCGTCAGACTAATATTATTTGGGGGACAAAACACTAATTAACCTCAGATTTTCCAGCCATCCAGCTAAAATATGTTATAATACGAGACCTCGTAATGCATGCATACATGTGTTTTTTAAAAAGGCTAAAATTTATTCAAGAATTTAAAATATAACTGGCTATATGAATATAATCGAAGATTAAATTTTATGGAAGTAAACATGCATGCAACAACAGTGTAACCAAAAAGAATATAAGACAGAGTCGGTTAAAAGTTTATGAAAGAGATCGTAAGCTATAATGTTAGAACCTTGAATAGGAGATGCTTCCAAGAGAGTATCGACGCCGGAGTACTTGCAAGACTTGCAATAAACCATGCCTTCAACTGCCACAAGTCTCCGGCTCATCTTTTTCGGCGACGGCAACGGAGATGGACTCACGGGAGAAGCAGATGAGACTTCATTGGTGTAGAAGAAGGTCAAGGAGAAAGAGAGGAGTAGAATATATTTGAGAGTTTTTATCACCAAACCCATTTTTGCTATTTGTTAGGATGTGGAAGAGAGATAAGGTAAATGGGATTTCTCATCGAAGGCCATATTTAAAGCACTAACCAAAGGCCAACCAAAGGCCAAAGGCCTAGTTGCTCATTAGTGATACTGTTAAGTGACAACTTGTAAGTTAATATTAGCCGTTTCTCACATTAATAATAGCCGTTTTATAAACAGTGTATTATAAAATGGAGTATTATTTTTTGTTATATTTTCTTAAACGGATATATGTACACCAAACTCTACGATATCACCAATCATAATTTATAATTAGCTTCGAAATTGTTATGACAAATGTAAAATAATTTGTATAGAGAAACACAACTTTGCAATAACATATTATTTATATATAGTAATACTATTGTGACAGTGGTATATGTGCAGAAAAAAGACATTTATTCGCGTGGCCTTAGATTTTTCTTAAGGTGGTCGAGAGATGAGGCTACAAAGTTGATGATGTCGCCACCTGCATGTAATACCATATCATTGGTTTTTCTTATGCAAAATTCAGAAACATGGTGATGCCTTGTGAAGACGGGAAGATCAAAGGTATTGTTCCCGATGCATAACCGTATGTGTCTTTACCAAACTGTTTAACACGGCCACTTCACCGTTTGCCACCAAATTGGTCGCTTTCGAATAAAGTACAGAGAGTACAAAAACATTTAAAACCTTTTCACTGAAATAGACAAACTATAGGTTTCTTTTCTCTGCCTAGAAATTTATAGACTAGGAGGCATCATGGTCTACTTTCCTTATGATAGATACGATTTCATTATAGGTTTAAGTTTTTTTCTAGTGCACGTTACATTAATAAGTAGTCATGATAGATTCATTTATTGTGAAGATTCATCCAAATCTAATCTTTAAATTTGCTTGCAGTGTTATTTAACAACTACAACCTATAACTCATATTGGACCACCTTCCATTATACATAACAATAATACTCAAAATCTTTACATAAATAGCTTATCAATAATACATTTATATTTCTCATTTGTTATAACTATTGAAATGCATACTCCAGAATTAATCACAGCCTATCGCACTCATTTATGATCTATCTCCCTTGCATTATATACTCATTTGCCCTGTTGAATAAATTTGTATTTACTTTTTCTTACTAAAGAAAGATCAATTTCACCAAAATTTGAAAGGAAACTGCATAAAGACAACAACTACGTTAAGACGTAAGACCACCTCCAAAGGCAGTCTCTAAAGCAAAAATTAGAGGGGTTCATAAAAATTAAGTGATTAAAAATAAATATAAATGTGGTATAATTATTAGGAACGCCCCTTAGAGCATCTCCAAAGGGAGCTTCTAATTTTAGGGTGTTAAAGAAATTTTAATTAAATTTAATGATTAATAAAAATATGTTGAACACTAAAAAAATGTTTAATTTTTCTTCCTCCAATGGTGAACTATTCTTCTTCAACTAAACATTGTATTATTTCAATCACTTTAAATTTTGTATGTTTTGTATTTCAAGTAATGTAATATAATTTTGTTCTTATATATTTTTAAAAATAAATTATATTAATAAAAATTTAAAATATTTATTTTTTAGAACTTTTTATTGAATTCACCATTGGAGGAACAAAAATTAAACATTTTTTTAGAGTTTAACATATTTTTATTAATCATTAAATTTAATTAAAATTTCTTTAACATCCTAAAATTAGAAGCTCCCTTTGGAGATGCTCTATTATATTGCGAAAGCGAACTAGTACAACAAAAAAGACTTCATAACATTAACATAATAATATCCTGCCATAACATAGGAACAAGAACAACCCATAGAGGATCATACATTTGAGTCATATTACATATAAGTCCTTGAATTTCAAAATACTTTTAGAGTTTGTAGCATAGCGGCAACCTAAGTTTAATATCTTACATAAATAACGTTCCTCTCAAGGGAAAAATGGGCGGTCTTCTTATTATTCTTCAAACGAACGACCAATTCACGAACATGATCGCTAAGCAGTGGTTTGATTCATCGTCTTCTAGCACTTTCCACACCGTTGCCTGCTCGTAAGACACCATCCTCCCCATGCTTGACGCACATACTCCCGCCGGAAGATGCGCATAGCCCTGTAAAACAAAATCAAGATTCCAAGTAAAACATTGATTTAATTTTCCTGCAGAAACATGGCAAAATGTTTCACAAGGAAAAAACAAAAACCTGTTGCATGATCTTGGGGAACTCAGAGCAAAGTGCTTTACGACCAGGTTCATCGAGGGTCTTGTCTAGCATTATGTCTTGAAGGGCTACAAGAGTAGTTTCCAGCATGTCTAAACCTGTTTGGTTTGCGAAGGTGAAAACTGGCGAAGCCTGCAGAAGAGAGTTTATGTCACTTATCTCAAAATATGCAAACATGTCCTAGTTACTAATAAGAAATCTGAATTTGAAGCCCTAGTCACTTACGTTTGTTTTGAGAGAGCAGCACAAGATCGCATCAGTGTGATTCCAGAGCTGATGGAGCAACGTGTCACCACTAGTTTGAGAACCAGAGCCAAAGAGATCTGCACCAGTGTGAAGGCTATACAAAACCAAAAAGAAAAGAACAAGGTTTCAGGTAAATAATCCGTAAATTCTGTGAACAAAAACAGATCACTAATAAGTACCTGTAACTCCGTGAGATCCAGCGGACTAGAGTGAGAGCTTCAGGGGAAGTGGGAACAGAGATTGGACTGATACTGGAACCAGGACGAGGAGCAATGGCTAAAGCAACCCTCTGAATAGATCCTACTATGCTTCTCACGTACTGACGTGCCATTGAAGCAACACTATCTCTTGAATGGTTATCAAATGTAAACTGGAATGCTATGGTTATTACCGACCTAAAGTTACAGCCATTTGGGTCAGCTTCACCTTCTTGACGGGTAGATCCTTCTAAAGCCGAGGCTAAATCCAGTGTACGGTTTGCAGATGGACCAGTCTGTAAGACAGTGAAAAGCTATTAGAATACTGCATCAACATAATATATATATCTTTTAATGGCTTTAATATATATTACCGGAGTTGACTTATGTTCAAGAGGTATGACACGGAAACCAGAAGGAAGCAAAGGTGCATCATCAGCAAATGATTCATCGATAGGGGCAAAGACAAGCTGAGCACAACCTCCAACCACATTTTCATCAACACCGCTACAAAGCTGGAAAAGAAACACGGGTCAAAAAAATATCAACAAGAAAACCAAGGAACTGAGAAACTTCGGATGTGAAAGTATGAAGTAAAACCTGTAGCAAATACATATCCCGAGCTAAACCCATGTCTTCAGGTGAGTAAGCGTGACCTTCAAGTCTAACCACCTCAAGAGACTGAAACAAGTAAACCAGGAAATGTTTCAGGCTTGTAAAACTTATTAAGATAGAAGTGAAAAACTGTTATATTCTTCTTTAGTACCTCTTCATGTTCCACTGTCTGCGCAAGGGGAAGAATGACTTGATTACTTGGGAACCCACCAGCTCTTGCGCAAGGAACAGCAAACGGACTTGCTCTGAGCGATGCAGCAGCATAAGCATCCACTCCATAATCAGCCCATTCAGAGCGGTGTTCTCTAAGGAATCGAACCAGCACAGCGGGTGGAACATTCTTAATGTAAGAAAGAAATGCAAGTTAGTCAGAGAACGACTGAAACAGAAGGTAGGCTTTTTCCATGATCTAATCCTTACAATATGTACCTGAAGTAACATAGATGCCTTGGCACAAAGCACGCCACTACCAAAGCTCGGAAGGAAGGAATTACCGTACTGAGCACCACCAAACTTACCAGGGGACAAGTTTATCATAACAGTAATATCCTCTGCGCCATCACTACCCATTGGCGACCATCCATCATCCCCAAAACCATTAACAGCATCATTGAAACCCCTGAAGTCCATCCACTTGAACAATTAGAATAATGATCAAAAGAACACTTGGCAATAAGGCTATTCAAGTCAAGAAGATACTTACCGACATAGTCTTTGACTGAAGGTTCTTAAAACTGCAGGTTGGCGCCCTCCACCATACTGAACCTCTCCACTTGTCTCTTGTGCAATTTGTCTCACATGTCTCAGAGCCTGAATAAGAATCAAATCGTAAGAAACAGTAGTATCCCAAGTTGTCCAAGTCATATACACTTGGGAACAAGATTTTTTGAACTTACAGCAACAGTCATTTTCTGAGCAAGAATCTTAGATGATTCATAGAGAGGCCTCATGACTTCAGGGACACTCCAGGCCTTACAAAAACAAGAAACAAAGTCAGAAATATATAACTAATTAAAGAGACCTGCTATGTTTGGAACCAATTTGAGTTGTCACTTACATCCAAATCAACATGATCAACAATATGGAGAATGGAGCCACCACCCTCGCAAGGACGGATAAGAAACCCGCTTGGTCGCATTTCTGCTCTCACAAAGCTTGAAGAAGGTGGCCCAGTGGGGCCACCAGTTGCAGAAGTAAGAGACCTTTCACAAACCTGAAGACAGTGGGTGAAGACAACATGAAGTAGTATTAAAAAAAGAAACCACAAAACAGAAAATCAGATTCAAGAACTCACCACATAGCTTCCATCTTCTAAACAAGTACTATATCTCAGCGTCCAAAAGTCACGAGCTGCTGCCAATGTTGTCGGAGCATACATCTGCGTGTATATAAGCTCGATAGTACCACCGTTTCCAGCAGGTATCACACTCAGAGTATCCACACATCGACAATCACGGAGCCAAGATGGACGATCTTTGAGGATTTCAGCGACCTATAGTTTTTTTTCAAATCAAGAGTATATATTATCCTGATCAAACAAGCCATAGAAGAATGAGACAAAACAAAACTTATACCTTCATGGGTTCTAAACTCACGAGGCCGCAGGCACGTGCTGCAATTCCGCTGCAGTTGCGCGAAATAGCGACGATGCCAATCGAATCCGGACCAGGCTACACCAGTAAAAGAAGTTTCATTGAATAACCAAAAAAATTATCCATCTCCAGACATCAGATTACGCAACTTTATAAGAGTTTTAC